TAAAAATTCATTGCTGCAGAAGAAAGTGCAAACAAAATGTGTTGCTAAGGAATTTCTTTTATTTAATTTTAATTTAAACTTATATATATCTTCAGGAGCAAAACTTCTGAACATTTCTTAAATATCTTCCATGTCTGACATATCTTATATGCTAAAGTGCAAAAAAGCAAATTAAAAATATCTTACAAGCAAAATAATAAACAAAATTAAATAATTTCCCAGCAAAAGTTGTGCTCACTTCAGCAAACATACACTGTAATTACACTTCCATCAAAAGTTTCGCATTTGGGTTATGCGGTTAAGTTTAGTTTGAGTAATTTGTTTCCGGCCATAAAAGGAAACTAATGTGCAAATGCTCAGAGTCGTAAATGCACGTACTTATCGCAAGCGAGTTAGCATAAATTACTTTTGAAGTTCCTGATGCAAACATTTGTGACTAACGCAAAATCAGACCAAACATTCCAATGTATGTATTGATTGCATCCTAAAGGTTTTGACAAACTTACGGCATTCATAGATACCAGATACCAGTATACAACAATTTGTGAAATTGTGTCAAAAGTCATCTTAGTTGTTTAGTTTAATATTCAAATTTCATGTTAACAAGTAGTTAAGGCAAGAAATTAATTATAAGAAGCTGCAGTATAGAATTCTTTATAGAAACAAATGTTAATACATAGATAATAGATAGATACCATAAACAGGAAACTAAAATAGTTTCTTACAATAGTTATATTAGTTACATTTTTCAAGCTTCAGTATACATCAGTATCTCCCATTATTACGAATACTGATGATTTCTATAATCCATTATAACGAATACTGCAGTAATGGAGCAGATCACACCGATGGAAGTCTTAAATGACTAAAATGTATCCTACCTCGAAGTAATACTAACGTACTCCCGGGGTAGGATAAGGATCTCTAGGAATGAGGAGAAGTGATTTAGCTTTAATCAAACTTGCCTGAGTACAAGTTTAACCCTTGTCAATTGCTCTCTCCAAACAAATATATAAGATGGGATGAAATCTGACACCACATAAAAATTAAATAAAGTGCGACAAGCATTCCAGACTTCGTCCGGTCTGGCAGTCTCGAGAAATTGCTCAAGGTACCAAATTTCGAATATTTAATGTGAGTGTTAAATCCGTGCTGTTATATGGGTCTGAGACTTGGAATGCAACTAAAGCTGTCACCAATAAGCTATAAGTGCAAATGTGGTTTCTTATACCTATTTGCTGTGAATTACAAACTCGAAATCTATCTAACTCGAAATAAAACAAAGAAAATGAAGCTGGATAGGACACAGTCTGAGAAAACCAAAGAATTATATAGCGAAAATGGCACTAGAATGCCAATTATAACCTGGATACGATAGTTAAGAGCAGAATGTTTTAACAGTGGCTATTGGCAGGAAATAAAGAGAATAGCACAAAAGCGTCAAAGCTGGAGGGAGTTTGTTACTGTCTTATGCTCCGCAAGAAGCGATACATAATTTTATATACTTATGTATAGCTAGATAATGCAACTGTTTATGTTATATATATACTTGTATATGTAAATTATATATCGAGGAAAATACAAAATAAAAATATATATATACAGAAATTTTTAAGCTTGCTTAACAAATATAATATATTTTCTTCATATTTTTTAAATACTTAACATATTCTTTATTTTAAACATTCTACATCAGTTGGAACTGGAAGGTTTCGATTATATAGATAATTTTTTTTTTTGATTACTATTGACTCTAATATCTTGATAGTACTTACCCCGAATGTTTATATTAAATAAATTGCAATTTTACTCTCAAATTATTCTAATTTGATTCTTGTAATGTAGTTAGCTATAATATAATAAATTAAGAGTAATTTTATTTTCAATATTTTCGCAATTCATTGAATTTTTTTACCAATTTTCTTATCATAATATTTCATCAAATTTCTTCTTGTTTTTTTTTTGTGAGTGCGCTACTTAATATAGAATAAAATTTGAACGCATATAAAAAATATCTTAAAGCTTTTATGAACATCGTTTATAGTTCATTAAGCATTAAAAATATTTTTTTCACAATATTTTACCGGTAAATATATTTACTTTAACCTAAATCACTGCCTTGCCATACAACCCACTACCTACCTCCTCTGCATTGCACTGCAATTTTACAGCTTGAAACACTTTCGCTTTTTAATTAAACGGAAACGGTGGGGCAGTGGGTCGGCGCGGGTAATTGCTGCATTACGACGAATAATGTGCATATTAATTAAATGTGAATTTTTTTTTCGAGCAGGATTAGGTGAAGGCTATACACAGACAATGCCTCTGGCGAGGTCAATGTTTCATTTAGTAACCAGGTTAAAGGATGATTTATTTCGCTTAAGTAGAAAACACAAAAAAAAAGGAACGAAAACACAAAGCGATTTAAGATAAAAGATTTAACTATGACATCATTATAAAGGTGTCATTTAATAAAAAAATAATTTAATAATTTAAGCAAAAAGTTAAAGAACATATAGCTAAGAATTATAAATCATCATCATCATCCGTGACTATAAAGTCCATATATTTACCTAAGTCTGTTTAACAACAGTCTTCCATACTTCTCCGTGTTTTGCTTTTCTTTTCCAATTTCTTATATTCATTACTTCTAAGTCCAGCTGCACACTATATTTCCATCGTTGTTTTGGTGGCCCTCTTCTTCAGATGGTTCATACTTCGTTCTCATAAATCTTAAGCGGTGTTCTTATATCCGGTATTCTTATCACATTTCCAAGCCATCTTAATCGCTGCTTTTGCATAAATTTGTTGATTGTATCGCCTTCAGCAAGCCGTTCTAGCTCATGGTTGTATCTTATGCGATACATCCCGTTTTCTTACACGGACTCAAAAATTTTTCTGAGTACTTTCTGAGTATAATTATAAATACTTTATTAAATTTTGTATTTTTCGGATGGTCTAACTTAAATATTTAACAAAAATTGTTTCAATAGAAAACTTTTTCTCAGCGAATGTGCGAAGCGTGCTCTTGATAGCTTGCCTACCATATCAATTTATATGTGTTATACAAGTCAATTGATTTAAACTTTTTATTACATATAACATGACATTTAAACTTTTTTAATGCAATAATAAATCAAAAGTCACAAAATATATAGCCAAACGGTTTTCAATTAACTATACACACATGAAAATTGTTTAAAAATAGAATTTATAATCTTTTTATGAACTTTCATGCCTGGTATTTA